ATGCATCCGCTCCTTGGAGTACACAAGTACCTTGTTCCGGTGACTTGAATTGTTATGTAGATAGTCTTGGTCCCGTCAGATAATTACTATGAGTTTTGGTTGTTATCGCTTCGTTAGAGCCATTGATCTCGCCATCACTGCCGGGTACGTCTTGACTCCTTCACAATGGTCACCTTCCTCACCAGTTTCGGGCTGGGAGGGAGGGGGGACCACGGCATCCATGGGAGCCTCACTCTGGCAAGACACGCTGACGGAAGGGCTCCCCCCCCTCTCTTCTGCTCCAATAACTCGGCCACTGGGGCGGGGGGCTGGATGTGGCGGGGGGCTGGATGTGGCGGGGGGCTGGATGTGGCGGAGGCTGGATGAGACTTGGATTGCCTGAGGAAGGAACCGAGTGTGGAATGGCTTTTTGGTTGTGGGGAAAATGTTGTGGCTGTGACTGGAACTAAATTTGGCAGTAGTCGAAGTTTCCTTGTTGTGGCACAGTGCCTGTTGTTAATGCCTGCGTCAGTTCTTGGCGGTGTTGGCCGAGGCGGACGTTGTAGCAGTGGGAGGCTGACGTTTGGCGGCAGCAAGTACTTTGTGGCCTTGACTTGGGTGGCGATCAACGAGTTTCGCGTATGGCGTGGACTGAGACCTTTTAGCAACTCATTCTTATTTGATGTTATAGGACCCTTCTTTGATGGACCTTGGTTACACTTACACCACGACACACTCGCCGTCATGTCTCAAGTCATCTCCCCACACCCACCCACTCACAGTAAACCATCCAACGCTTTGTTTACACCTGTAAACAGCTAGTACACACTTAGACACCTTGCACCCCCCCACGCAACAGCCGTGAATTAACGCCTCGCTTACTGGCAATTATCATGATTTAGAATACCAAGCTGATGAGTTAGCCTCCATCTGAGCGGTTCGCGAGTCGGCCCCCTTCACGCGAACGGTCCCAACGTCAGTCCTACTAAAGGGCCTTTTAACCTAACCACCCAGAGGACCCCCACGAATGGGAAAACTTTCTCACTTTGGCGAGCCGCAACGATTTTCTTGTGTATCACTTTTGGGTCTTGGGTAAAGGGGATACGTCAAAATGCGAAGTGTTGTAAAGAGGACAGGTTGTGTGAATGAGGGAGTGTGGGTGGGGGAGGAATGGGCAGGTGACTTTTAGTAATGGAGAGATGCAGGTGAAGGCAAAGTTTAGAAATGTGGAATATAGAATGTGTGTGTGTGAGAGAATCTTTACTCGTTTATTTCATGTGTATGTGTTCATAAATGTATACTGCGTAGCATTCAGCCATCCACTCACAGGTGCTTAAATACACGTTTTGATTCGGGGTAAAGTTTTAGAGAAGTAAAAACCGTCCCTTAGAGTTTTTCTAGCCTGTGTTCCATCTTGGAATTATGTAATTGTGGGACTTGATTGTCCTCGAATTGACCCCATCACTTGAGCCACCGGCTTGGTAGTTAGTGGGGCGTCTCGTCTTAGAGTAATCTTCTAGCAAGTCGGGTATTCCCCATCCCTTGGTGGCTTGCTGCTGCTGTAGTCAGATGTTCAGTGGTTGACAGACAAGGGGGGTAGACATTGCAGAATTACAAACCCAATACGAATTCAACTTAGACTCAACAGAGCAGATGATGGGGCATAAACTTACTGAAGCGACCATACGAGTCATACTCATACTCCGCCTAAGTAAAACAGAAACAAGAAAAGAGTAACACTTAAGTGGGCCAGCCAGAGGCTTAGAGCCTCATGGGGGAGGAGTTTCCCCTGCCCTGCCTCTCGGCGCTCCCCCCCCCCTCCCTTCCCCAGTACCCACCGGTATCCGTGGGAAACGCCATGGAACAAACGCTAGATAAACTCTGGCGCTAAAAAGTTTAAAATTCTCCGACTACGTTGGAATGCAGGTTTCTCTAAATTGTGGACAGTTGTCAGTAGAGCACCTGGGGTCGTGACTAGCGACCCCAGAGAGCCACTAACTGCGGTCTCTGGGTGGGGGGGGGTCGTGTTGAGACCCTAGAGAGCCACTTACTGCGGTCTCTGGGGGGGGGGGGTCGTGACTAGCGGCCCCAGAGAGCCACTAACTGCGGTCAACACGACCCCCCCCCAAGAGAGCCACTAGCTGCAGTCTGTAATGTTGAATGGTACCCCCTATTCTCAAGATATCCCACTACGTAAAAAAAAGTTCCCCCCAACCAGACATGTACCGACTCGGGCAATATACTTAACCTACAGAGGGAGCGCTGTGTAGAAAACGGAAATATTACGGGCTTTCAGTTTTATTAATACATACTATTATATTTTTACGGATTGTTCGATATCGTAGAAAATACGTCTAGCAAAATCCAGCTCGCACCTCACAGTAGAGACTACGCGATGACTGGAGGATCACTTATCGTGTGGAGGGCCCCCATTAATCCGAGCGAGATGATGATGATATAGATTCAGCTACTTGGAACAAGTTCCAAGTAGCACGGCCTATGGCGAGCCCGTAGTGGACTTACCTGGCACAGGAGCGGTGCTGTGTGACAGCTAAGCTCTTCTTTGTAACCAGCCTCACCCATACCAGTATTAGTCCACTCAGCTTGAAGCTTTTGAAGTGAACACGGAAACAAAAATTGTTTCGTGTTCTGACGTGTTTATTATTTCCATTTACATGGGCTGGGCTGCTGTATAAAGTTTGTTACAGCATGATGTGTGTTCAAGAACTGTCATACGTGGACGTTGACATGGTGTTAACGGTTAAATTTTTTAAAATTTTGCCCCGAGGGGCGAGTTTATTGGGCAGCGCCACTCATCTTGTGAGTGGACATACGGTGCTTGAGTTATGTCCCATTATACAGTATTAGGCTTTGTATCCAATATTTATTAATTGACTTTTTACTTCCCTACTTTTGAGTTAGGCTATTCTTATGAAGCGGGCATTAGGCTGCTCCATTCACTGATTAGTGTATCATATTGAAAAAAGATTCGTTAGCTGTTACGCGTTTCGTGTACACGTTGGTTCGCTGTGATTCGGTAGCTATTCTTTACACATTACTTATTACAGTTGTGTAAAGAGTGATTGAGGTTATTTCCATTTGGTCGTCCACAGTGTTTGAACTTTCTTCTACCGTCGTGTTGATGGCGACCCCCCCCCCCCCCCCGCTGGGGTCGGGCCCCTGGGGTCAGGGGTCAGCCACCGCCGGCTGTGGGGCTCTGTGGTGTGCGTACCTCCAGCTCTACAGGCCAGATTTCTCTTTCTAGTCCTGTGATTTCCGCCGCTGATGGCGTGGTGGGTTGGCATTATGTGATTATGTAGGAATGTCGGTATTTACACTGTGTAGCACACTGTGCCCCCCCCCCCTCTGGCACAGTGGCCCCCTGTGGCACTCTAATCACTCTACACGGCACAGGAGCCTCTAAGATCGAGAAGCGTGCAAATCCCAGGTGGGTTGTAGACCTTATTAATGTGCTCTCATATGCATTTCAATGTTAAAATTATTCACATAGTGAATTTAAAATGTTTTAATGAAGGCAAAAAAACTTAAACTGAAGGTAGATTTGGAAACTGATTTGGATTCCGTGTAATTTGAAACTTGGTTTATAGTTTCATGAATTGGCCAATTCTGCTATATTGGTCTCAAATCTGTTATACAGTTTTAATCGGTGTTGCTTAACCCCCATTTATTTTGGTCACTTGACAGCCCCTTAAAAGGGGGAAAAAAAATTCTCAAGGTACCTTTTTTAAATTTTAGTGTGTGCTTGGAATAATCTGTGGTTACTTGTTCTAGAGTCTCTACTGGAGTTCCATTTATTTATTATAACATCTTCATTTGTGTGCACCAGTATTATGCTGTAGTTGTCCTCGTGAGTGGTGGCGCGAGGCAGCATAGTCTGGACGTGTTCTTGGGCACGAGAGAGGACGACGACGACCCCCCCACAACCCTATAAGTTTGTTTCAATCGACTTGAGAATGGTCCAGGACGGACCGAAACGTCGTCGTCCCTTCACCTTCTAGTGTGTGATCTGGTCAACATACTTTAGCCACGTTATTGTGACTCATCGCCTGCATACGTTTGTTGATTGCGTGACGCCGATCAGCTGGGGTCCTTATCTGTGTTGTCCTCACAGGTGGCTGATGTAGCGAGCCTGTGGGCCATCTTCGGGATTCATGCTCTGCTAGTTCTTTTTTCCTTTGTGGATTTGTTCTCGTCTTTTAGACATAAACGAATTATATTGTCGCCCGAGCCTCTGTTTCCGCTTGCACCGCTGCTGGCTGCTGATGGTGGTGTGGGCCTGCGGGCCGTTCCAAGCAACAGCCTGTTGGACCAAGTTATCACAAGTCAAGCCTGGAATTGGGGGGGTTGTGGCGGCTATGGTGGAGGAAGGTGTAGTGGGTGTTGGCTGTGTATTGGGTAGGTAGTGTTCAATTGTGTGGGAGTAGTGTTAATGCGGATCTCCGGAGCTGTGGCGAGGTATGGAGTTGGGGAGTGGGGGGGGGGGAGGGGATGTAAGTATATCTGGTTCAGGTGCTGATTGTATACAGTTAATGTTGTATTTTCTTTTTCTTTATCCTGTAGTCTCGATCAAGCGTGCACGAACCGTCGAACACACCAGAATTGGCTCTGGGACGCCAAATCTTTCGTCACTAACTTTACACAATACAACAAGAGATTGTAATATTTGTAAGGGTGGGGGGGGGGGGGAGACGGCACAGCTGTAGCGAGCCAAGGCCCCCGACGTTATTAATAAAGACAGTTATTTGTATTTGTTTCGTGTAGTTGATGTGGTGGGGGGGGGGGGGTTGGAGGAGGGGGGGGGGGGGGCTGCACGGGCGTAAACAAGGTGGTTGAGAACAGGAACCGGAGACCGTCCGGGGCTGCATTCTTAACCCCTTGAGCGGCAGGTTGAGCGTCAAGCGAGCCCCCCGCGGGTGTGCACCAGCGAGGGAGAGCGCCGGGTGAGAGCCCTCTGGCGCTACACGAGGATGTCCGGGTATGTCATTTTCTGAATTGCTGGGTTATGCATACCGTGGAATTTGTGTGCAGTGAGGGCGCCGACCTGGGTCGGTACACGTGGGGTGAGTGGGTATGGAGCCGACGTAGAGAGCCAGGAGAGGATGGGTCTGGAGCCGACGTGGAGGGCCAGGAGAGGATGGGTGTGGAGCCGACGTGGAGGGCCGGGAGAGGATGGGTCTGGAGCCGACGTGGAGGGCCGGGAGAGGATGGGTCTGGAGCCGACGGTGGAGGGCCGGGAGAGGATGGGTCTGGAGCCGACGGTGGAGGGCCGGGAGAGGATGGGTCTGGAGCCGACGGTGGAGGGCCGGGAGAGGATGGGTCTGGAGCCGACGTGGAGGGCCAGGAGAGGATGGGTCTGGAGCCGACGGTGGAGGGCCAGGAGGGGATGGGTGTGGAGCCGACGGTGGAGGGCCAGGAGGGGATGGGTGTGGAGCCGACGGTGGAGGGCCAGGAGGGGATGGGTGTGGAGCCGACGGTGGAGGGCCGGGAGAGGATGGGTCTGGAGCCGACGGTGGAGGGCCGGGAGAGGATGGGTCTGGAGCCGACGTGGAGGGCCAGGAGGGGATGGGTGTGGAGCCGACGGTGGAGGGCCAGGAGGGGATGGGTGTGGAGCCGACGGTGGAGGGCCGGGAGGGGATGGGTGTGGAGCCGACGGTGGAGGGCCGGGAGAGGATGGGTCTGGAGCCGACGTGGAGGGCCGGGAGAGGATGGGTCTGGAGCCGACGTGGAGGGCCGGGAGAGGATGGGTCTGGAGCCGACGTGGAGGGCCGGGAGAGGATGGGTCTGGAGCCGACGGTGGAGGGCCAGGAGGGGATGGGTGTGGAGCCGACGGTGGAGGGCCGGGAGAGGATGGGTCTGGAGCCGACGTGGAGGGCCGGGAGAGGATGGGTCTGGAGCCGACGTGGAGGGCCGGGAGAGGATGGGTCTGGAGCCGACGTGGAGGGCCGGGAGAGGATGGGTCTGGAGCCGACGGTGGAGGGCCAGGAGGGGATGGGTGTGGAGCCGACGGTGGAGGGCCGGGAGAGGATGAGTGTGGAGCCGACGGTGGAGGGCCGGGAGAGGATGGGTGTGGAGCCGACGGTGGAGGGCCAGGAGGGGATGGGTGTGGAGCCGACGGTGGAGGGCCGGGAGAGGATGGGTGTGGAGCCGACGGTGGAGGGCCGGGAGAGGATGGGTGTGGAGCCGACGGTGGAGGGCCGGGAGAGGATGGGTGTGGAGCCGACGGTGGAGGGCCGGGAGAGGATGGGTCTGGAGCCGACGTAGAGGGCCAGGAGAGGATGGGTATGGAGCCCAGGTATCTAGCAACACTGCGGGTCAAATAGTTCTCATTGTAAAACCTCGCCGCCATGTTTTCAACAACCCAACTGGTTCCCACGTCCAGTTAAATGTGACGGAGAGACTACTGCCTAATTGTTACTTTTGTCTGGTCTGGGGAGTAAGGTCTTGCTCTTAATGTCCCGCCTGCTAGTCTTGTTCTACATGTGGCGTCATCATTCAACTGTTCTTCATAATTCAACATTTAAATTCTTTGGCGAATTTGAGCTCAGCTGTGGATATACGTGGCTTCCACAACTTCTTGAGTGCATTCCACTTGTTGAGCACCCATACACGGAATGAGTATTTAATTATATTTCTCCCTCTTGCATCTATTCCCCTCGGTGTCTTGTGATCATATTCCTTTCGTTTATTGTTCTCTAGGCTGAGGTCCAGTTCCCTTAACCTCTACTCCGTAGTTTAACCCTCTTAGCTTCGGCACCAATCTTGCTTTTGAAATCTTCGTACTTTGTCATTTTTGTTTTTGTATGCGTCTAGGCCGGTGTTGCATATTGGTATTGCTAGGCCTAGTTGTGGCTCCCAGCACTGAGTGGACTCGAGCCTGGCTTGGTACTCGGTCCTTAACAAAAATTAGGAGCGTCTAAATTTGCAATGAAGATTACTTGCTCCTTTTCCCCAGCACTAGTGTGTGTGAAGGGGGGGGGGGTGTCTGATGAGTGCGATTAGCTGTAATTACCAATTGTCTGTGTGTCGCTTTCTTTTTCTTGTTTCAGGAAGATTGTAATAGAATCTTATATTGTGAAGTGCATGAAGCCTTAGTTTCTCCATTTTAATAGACTCTTAGTGGCTGGTTTCTCCTAAATATTTTTGATTATTTTTTCCATTTCCGTTTCCACCGCTTTCTATATGTACTCTAAATGTTTCTCCTCATTTGGTTCTCTGGTCACGGTACACCTGCGTCCACCCGACCCCTTGAGACACTACTGGTGGCATTACCAATTGTCTTGTATTTAATACCACGTTGTAATGACGTTCGTAGCTAGAGGCAAGCGAAACCGCCAGCTCGGCCTGTTAAGGTCTCCTAACCTACCAGAGGACCCAAAACAGAAAATGGGACAGTCAATTTCGTATGTCAATTTCTCGAGTCGCTACCATTTTAAAGTACGACGATTTTTGGCCTTAGATGGAGTATACGTCAAAATGCGACGTTCTATTAGGAGGGCGGGTTGCTCCCCTGCCCCCCTCGCTCTCTCTCTCCCTGCCCCCCCCCCCCCTCGCTCTCTCTCTCTCCTGCCCCCCCCCTCGCTCTCTCTCTCCTGCCCCCCCCCCCCCTCGCTCTCTCTCTCCTGCCCCCCCCCCCTCGCTCTCTCTCTCCTGCCCCCCCCCCTCGCTCTCTCTCTCCTGCCCCCCCCTCGCTCTCTCCTGCCCCCCCCCCGCTCTCTCCTGCCCCCCCCCCCTCGCTCTCTCTCTCTCTCTCTCCTGCCCCCCCCCCTCGCTCTCTCTCTCCTGCCCCCCCTCGCTCTCTCTCTCCTGCCCCCCCCCCTCGCTCTCTCTCCTGCCCCCCCCCCCCCCTCGCTCTCTCTCCTGCCCCCCCCTCGCTCTCTCTCCTGCCCCCCCCCTCGCTCTCTCTCTCCTGCCCCCCCCTCGCTCGCTCTCTCCTGCCCCCCCCTCGCTCGCTCTCTCTCCTGCCCCCCCCCTCGCTCTCTCTCTCCTGCCCCCCCTCGCTCTCTCTCTCCTGCCCCCACCCCCTCGCTCTCTCTCTCCTGCCCCCCCCCCCCCTCGCTCTCTCTCTCCTGCCCCCCCCCTCGCTCTCTCTCTCTCCCTCCTGCCCCCCCCCCTCGCTCACCAGCTCTCACCCAGCTAGTGGTAATGGCCCCCCCTCCCCCTTAGTTCCAGACAAATACTGCACCACACGTACATTAACATACTGCGGGTGCTTATACGAGAGCTGTGTACGTACGTACACGTACTCGCTTAGTTGTGCTTGCGAGGATTGAGCTTCAGCTCCGAGTCTTTCAACTGTCAGCTGTGTGTTGGAGGGAGGGGGAGGGGGGGAGGCTGTGTGGACGGTTCTTCTCTATAAATGGACTACACTGTACATTGTTTGATAGGAATATTTTTCATTGTTGTGGTATGCAGAGTCGGGTCTTTATCCAAGCTTTCAAAATGTACTCTTTAGAATGGAGAAGAGAGAGACCAAATTATATACACATGGAAAATATTGGAGGGACAGGTCCCAAATTTACACAGTAAAATAACAACGTACTGGAGTGAACGATATGGAAGAAAATGCAGAATAGAACCAGTGAAGAGCAGAGGTGCCATAGGCACAATCAGAGAACACTGTATAAACATCAGAGGTCCGCGGTTGTTCAACACCCTCCCACCGAGCATAACAAATATTTCCGGAACAAAACTGGAAGTCTTCAAGTAACTCTTTGACAGTTTTCTGTAAGAAGTGCCGGACCAACCGGGCTGTGGTGGATATGTGGGTCTGCGGGCCGCCCGAGCAACAGCCTGGTGGACCCCAAACTCTCACAAGTAAAGTCTGGCCTCGGGCCGGGCTTGGGGGAGTAGGACAAACTCCTGGAACACCATCCAGGTACAAACCCGGGTATCTTCCTAGTACGGACACCCAATTTTCTATTTGCCCTCACGTCCTAATCCCCCCCCCCCCACCTCCCCCTTAACCTTACTAACAATATATTCGTACAATTCCTTTCCTCCGTCCTCGCCTAAATCCTTACCATACCGCTTCCAAGGGCTATATAGTCGTAACGGCTTAGCGCTTTCTCCTGATAATTACAGTTTCGTACAATCGGCGCCTCCCAAAAGTCAACAATACGCATTTAGGGCCAACAATCTCTGGGTTACGGGACGCGAGGCGGATGCACTCAGCATTACCTGCTATAAAGGGGGGAAAGGAGATAATCAGGAAAGATGACAATAACAAGAGGTGAAGGAGAAATATAATGGCGATAATGACCTGCGCCGGAAGCGCCCACATCCGGACGGGGTGAATCTGGAGTCAGAGGCGCTTCTTCGGGCAGCGGCGGGCGCGTACGCCACCCACCCACCCGCCGCCCAGGCACCTGGGGGCAGCAGGCGGGCGGGCGGCAGGACAAGTAGGTAGGCTGGGTGAGGAGTAGCACTGGTGAGTGGCCGGACGCAGGCCTGCCTTCTTCCCCCTGTGGGAGGCAAGAAGGAAGATATGACAGAACGTTGGGAGCCGGAAAGCGGAATGGTTAGTGGGCGTGGGACGGGAAGATGGGCGGAGTGGTGTGTGTGTTGGTGTGGGTGAGAGTGGAGGGAGGACGTGAGGAGTTACACTAGGCAGACACGCACCTCAGATAAAAAGAATCAAGGTGCAAACACTTGCTGTGTTCATTGACGCCGCCGCGTGCTCTCACCCGGGGGGGGGGGGGGGGGCAGGCCGTCGCGCGCTCTCACCCGGGGGGGGGGGGGCAGGCCGTCGGGCGCTCTCACCCGGGGGGGGGGGGGCCAGGCCGTCGGGCGCTCTCACCCGGGGGGGGGGCCAGGCCGTCGGGCGCTCTCACCCGGGGGGGCCAGGCCGTCGGGCGCTCTCACCCGGGGGGGCCAGGCCGTCGGGCGCTCTCACCCGGGGGGGCCAGGCCGTCGGGCGCTCTCACCCGGGGGGGCCAGGCCGTCGGGCGCTCTCACCCGGGGGGCCAGGCCGTCGGGCGCTCTCACCCGGGGGGGCCCGGCCGTCGGGCGCTCTCACCCGGGGGGGCCAGGCCGTCGGGCGCTCTCACCCGGGGGGGCCAGGCCGTCGGGCGCTCTCACCCGGGGGGGCCAGGCCGTCGGGCGCTCTCACCCGGGGGGGGGGGCAGGCCGTCGGGCGCTCTCACCCGGGGGGGGGGGCAGGCCGTCGGGCTCTCAGTCTGTCATTGGGACACGGGTGTTGGTAAGGTGTAGAGAGAGCGCTCTCAGTCTGTCATTGGGACACGGGTGTTGGTAAGGTGTAGAGAGAGCGCTCTCAGTCTGTCATTGGGACACGGGTGTTGGTAAGGTGTAGGGAGAGCGCTCTGTCTGTCATTGGGACACGGGTGTTGGTAAGGTGTAGGGAGAGCGCTCAGTCTGTCATTGGGACACGGGTGTTGGTAAGGTGTAGGGAGAGCGCTCAGTCTGTCATTGGGACACGGGTGTTGGTAAGGTGTAGGGAGAGCGCTCTCTGTCTGTCATTGGGACACGGGTGTTGGTAAGGTGTAGGGAGAGCGCTCTCTGTCTGTCATTGGGACACGGGTGTTGGTAAGGTGTAGGGAGAGCGCTCTCTGTCTGTCATTGGGACACGGGTGTTGGTAAGGTGTAGGGAGAGCGCTCTGTCTGTCATTGGGACACGGGTGTTGGTAAGGTGTAGGGAGAGCGCTCAGTCTGTCATTGGGACACGGGTGTTGGTAAGGTGTAGGGAGAGCGCTCAGTCTGTCATTGGGACACGGGTGTTGGTAAGGTGTAGGGAGAGCGCTCTCTGTCTGTCATTGGGACACGGGTGTTGGTAAGGTGTAGGGAGAGCGCTCAGTCTGTCATTGGGACACGGGTGTTGGTAAGGTGTAGGGAGAGCGCTCAGTCTGTCATTGGGACACGGGTGTTGGTAAGGTGTAGGGAGAGCGTTGGAACCTTGTATACACACACACCACAGCTTGACTGGAATCCAAAATGGAATCTGTATCAAGAGCCTATCAAACAAAGTTATTAGAATTATTTAATCACACACAGAAAGCCATTGACGTGGCTTTGTATATGCCCAGTAAGCCTTTAAGAAAGTAAGAGCAAGAGGGTTCAGAAAACAGAGGGCTCTAGGTACTGGAGCCAGCGAGAGGGGCTATATAATATAGCCTCGTCCGACGCCGCAATAGGTACTCGACTCCGTCCTCTTAATAATGCAAGTTACTTCGGAAAAAGGCTAGTCTAAGAAATCACTACTCGCAGATTTCAAAATTATTTAAATGCTACAACTTAAGCCACACACACACAGTTTTAGTCTACCAAGGGTTCCTTGACTGGG